CGTGGCAGACCTCTCCTGACCCGCCCACTGCTCCCCTCAGCAGTGTACTTTGTCGATCTGCCTGTTCTGCTCCCTGTTCTGTCTCTGGTGAATCCTATCACCCTCCACATCTCTGGCCTGTACCCCAGTTCTGTATGAATAAATAAATAAATCTAAAAAAAAAAAAGAAACAGGGATTTTCAAGTAACAATGATCAATATGTTAAAGAAATTAGAGGGAAAATGGAGGAAATAGATGAAAAGATGAATAATGTAAATGTAAAAATAGAATATCTTAAGAGCTAATTGGATATTCCAGATATGAAAATATATACTATAGAACTGAAATATTCAGTGAATGGAATTAACAGTAGACTGGATGTGGAGAAGAAATAAAAAATTATTAAGATGATAAGGCAGTGGATATTCTTAAATATGAGGCATAGAGAAAAAAATGGAGAAGTAGATCAGATTGTGAAGGGCATTAGGACATATGAAATGGTCCAACAGTCATTATTAGAGTGCCAGAAGAAGAGGAAAGAATAGGATAGATGAAATATTTGAAGAAAAAAGCCATAAGAATATCCAAAAATTGATAAAAGACATTGATCCACAGGTTCAGGAAGATCAGTAAGCTTGAAACAGAGTAAGTACAAAGAAAACAACAATCTAAGCATTTCATAATTAAACCACTAGAACAAATGAATTTTAAAAATCTATCAAAAGTAACCGTAGGAAAAAAACACATTCTGTTTAGAACATCAGTGATAATTAGAATAACTTCCCACCAGAATCAAGAACCCAGAAAACAGTGCAATAGCAATTAATAAAGGAATTAAAACAACAACTACCAGCCTCAAGTGCTTTGCCCTTTATTAATATAAAAAATGAGCAAAAGATATATTCAGAAATAAGTATGATGGGATTTATTGCCAGCAGATCTACTATACAAGAAGTGCTGAGGAAAAGGAGGAAATGCCAAAGGAAGTTCTCAAAACTGAAGGGAAATGATCCATTATGGGTGCACGGATATGCAGGAAATAATAAAGGGCTCCAGAAGAGTAAAATGAAGGCTCAGACTAGTGACATTTAAAGCAACAACAACAATATGAAACATAAACTTTGTAAAGAAGCAACATGCATGATAATATAAAAGATAGAAGGCAAATCATACTTTTATAAGATATTTATGTTCTGAAGTTTTAAAATACTAATCCGAGGCAAAGAGTAATAAATCATAGATCTCTAATAATTAAAATGTAATACATGTGATTTCTAAAAAGACAGTAGAGGTAAAATGTCTTCATGCTACTTTGAGTTCATGGTGATTACTATGCACTGAATATCTAATTTTAAATTTAGTGGTGTTTTGCCAGCAATTGTTACTATATAATACAACTGCACTATGTTTTTCATGTAATGTTTTCCTAGTATTGTTTTGGAATAAAAAACATGAGCAGCTGATGTAGCTCAAGCTCTATTGTATCCTAATATGGTGAGGTATGAAGCTGCAGATAAGGCTCATCAAACTGTTGGATGGGCCTGAAGATCACAATTGCATAAATGCTTTAAGGTTGACATAGTCCCTACTCCATCTTGAAATGAAGGAAGAACCATTTGAATTCTCAACTGAAAAAAGAAGAACTTGTCCAAATGTGTTTGCCCTAAAAATGCTGCCTTTGCCAAAAAAAATTAAAAAAAAAATAATAATCATTATAGTCCAAGTGTTCTTTGGAGGGATTGTCTGAGGTGAAATCAGAATTTTACTCACATGCTCATGGCTTGCATTTCATCTGATCCTCAATGCAGACCTTTGTGATGACCTCTTCTTTCAGATCTCATACTTTGTTTTAATAAGAAACTGCTTCATAACTGAATTATCATTAACTGTAAAAGTATCCTCTCCTCAACTTCTAAAAGCTACTTATGTTCAAATTTCTCACTTCAAACATTTTCAGTGCTTGCATATACCAATGTTTGCTTAATTTCTAAGATAATTTATGCTACCTCATGCAGTCATTGAGTTTGATATCTCTATTGACATGGAAAAGATGTGTATGACATAAATTTGTAGAAAAAGTAAACTTTTTAAGAATAATATTGACATGATGGAAGGAGACCTTCAGTTTCTGTTATATAACTATACATTATTTAAATGTTATACTCATAATGCATTATAATTTAGAAAAAGCTTAGTCCTTGTTTCTGGCAAAATGGTAATTTTTTTGTCCAGTCAACCATTTTCATTTTTGTAAATAAATAAATGTGAGAAAGTTCAGAACTAAGGGAAGCCTATATTTTTACTGACTATGGAAATTGATGTGCAATAAGCGTTTTGAGTAGTGGTGATTGATTATAGTTTACCAAGAAGTAGATGTTTATAGGATTGAATTTTGTTAATTTCTTTGTGCATTTCAGTACTAGGCTTGTTGTAAAAGGGGAAAGCCTTAAATGCCTAAAACTAATCAAAGGAATGATAATTATTTTGATACTTGTGTTGATTTCATATATATTTTAACTACTGGAATGTGTCTTTGAAATATTAAAAATCCAGTGAAAAACTTTTATCTCCCAATTTTTAAATAAGGCTACCTTAAATTGTATTTATTACATGGCACAGCATTAAGAAATAGAAATTTTCAAAAAACAAAAAAATAGAAATTTTCTATTTTCCTGTTAATTAGATTTTAAAAAAAATAAATGGCTAACTTACTAACTTACTGTTCAAAATTAAAAAAAAAAAACAGTGTCATACTGTGACAGGATCCATTATATAATTACAGAAATGGAAATTAAAAGGTGATTTAGAAATCAAGGTTTCTTGGAAGTATAGACAATGTGAGCACAAAATCTTATTCCTTTTCTCCTCATATGTAATCTCATGTCTTTCTGTGTGTTTTACATACACTGTAGAACATGACTAAATTTGGTAACAGTGCCCTCCTGCTATCTGTACCAAAATGCACTTGTTCTAAGCAAGTCATAATTTCCACATAAACATTATTGTGCTATTGCTCTGTTCACCTCTATCCAGGAGTTCTCGTTTTGGGTTTAACAGCTGAGAGTCTTGCCTTTAACAGCTAAGAGTCTTGCCTTTTCGTTCAGTTCCATCTGAAACTGAGGAGAAGGCAACCTTGCAGGCATTCTTTGAAAGGATTTGCATACCCACTCCAAATTAAAGAAGAAAAAAGGAAAAAGTCATGTAAAAACAAAATTAAATTGCATAAATAACCTACTTATTTTTCATGATAGGGAACGTCAGTGTTCCAGTTTAATCAAATATTTTGTTCCTAAGAAATGTAATACTTGTCAATTATTCCATTTTCTAGTAACTGGCAACCTCCATTTCACTTTTCCTTTTCTCTGAATTTAGTGAAATCATATCTTCTTGCACTTATGTGACAGACTTATTTCAATTAGCATATTGTCCTCAAGGCTTATCCATGTTGTACCCTGTGTCAGAATTCCCTTCCTATATAAGATTAAGTCATATTACCGTGTGTGTGTACCACATACTTTTACCAGTTCATCCTTTGATGGACATTTGAACTGTTTCCACCTTGTGACTATTGAGGTATGATGCTGCTGTGCTAAACAGATAACCTCTTTGAGTCCCTGCTACCAACTCTTTGGGTGATTTTTCTATTTCAATTATCTTTTAATTTATTTTGGATGATAATTGTTCAAAGCACTACTTTCCATTCTTTTGAGTGGAATTTCCTAGATTGGGAATTTCTGAATTGTACAGTAACTAATCATTTTCTATTTGTTTTTAATTATTTTTTAAAGATTTATTTATGTATGCATATAGAGTTGGGGTACAGGCCAGAAGTGCAGGGGCAGTGAGAGGATTCACCAGAGACAGTGGGGAGCAGAACAGGACTGCCAAGGAAATACACTGCTGAGGGGAACAGCGGGCAGGTCAGAAAAGGTCTGCTGTCCATGTGGATCACCTCTGGGGCGGGGATAGAATTCACATTAAAGTGGCTTTAGCTTTTCAGTGCTAAACCACCTGCTGCACCACCAGGAGGGCCCAATTAATTATTATTTTTTTAAGATTTATTTGTTTACTCATTCAAAACTGGGGTACAAGCCAGAGGTGCAGGGGCTGCAAGAGGTTTCACCAGAGACAGAACAGGACAGGCAGATCCTCAAGTACCCTGCTGAGGGGAGCAGCGGATGGGTCAGGAGAGGTCTGCCATGCCATTGGGTCAACTCTGGGGCCAGGGATCGAACTCTCACTGAAACGGCAGTCGCTCGCTTGCAGTATTGCATCCTAACCCGTTGCGCCACCGAGGAGGGCCCCCAATTAATTTATTTTGAATAAATGAAATGAAGTACCATCATATTACATTGTATTAATACTTCGTTACATCTTTGTTACTATTTGGCAATGTAGTATTTCTCCCCTTACATGTGGCTACTGTAGCTCTCCTACCACCAAAGCATCCATAGTCTTCCACCATAGTCTTCCCACTTCCCATCCTTCCCCTTCTCCCTTTGTGGATGCCTCATATCTATAGTCAATTTTCCAAGTTTAATTTTTGGAAGAACTGCCTTACTGCCTTCCACATACAGTAACTAATTTATATTCCCACCAACCATCAACATGGTTCCACTTTCTCCACATTCTTGCCAATACTTGTTTCCTATTTTTTTTTATAATAACCAACTAGTGGGTTTCAACAGTCAACTCTTTACAACCTTCTATCATTATATGAGCTACTTTACAGAGGCAAAATTTTATTATATATGCTTGACTCTAGTACAAATTACTTTCTACTCTATATGTGTGAAATATATAAAAAGTACTTTCTTGAGGATTCTTACAAGCTAGTTAGAGTCATTATGAATTACAGAAAATAAAACAGGGCCACCACTGAATGGATATAATTTCCTCAGGCCAACCCCTCCTATCACACTAACCCGTTTCTCAACTGACTTTTAATCTGAATATATTTTTGTTATTTATGACATAAAACACAGATTTCTTTTTATTAACAGATACTGTTCTTTCTTTAGAAAATCCATTCCTCGCTGCCGAAGAATTAACAGGATGCTCTCCAATGAATCCCTGCATTCTCCTGCATTCAGCCGCTCCAACTCGCAAGCCTCCGTAGACAGTGCCTCAATGGAAGATTTCTGGCGGGAAATAGAGAGTATTAAAGAGAACAGCATGGGAGGTCAGGAAGAGCAGATGTCAGCTGAGGTCAAGCCTGTGGATGGTAAGATGCTGAACTGGTTTTCTCATGTGCTGATAGTCTTTCTTTGTATATGCTCTTTTGTTCTCTTGGCAGATAGAATTCATTCTTTTATTTATTTAACAATGAGCTGGAAGAATTCAATATGTCTACTACCTTCTTCCACTGATTTGTATCTACTGAACTGGCTCAGAATTGTTTCCATCAAAGTGACGTTACCTGAAGGATGTCGTTCAGTATATTCCAGACTGACCCCTTATAGATTTCTTCTTAGGGAAACTGTCCCTATCTATTGATTTGATTTATAATCTAGCAGATGAATAATCTAATTTTGATGACTTCATCTGTATATTTGACTTTTATAGACTCATTAGCAATTACCAGTATAATTTTGAAGAAGAAAAAAAACCTAACTTTGAAGCATTTGCTAGTATTAATGTGTTTAGAAAATGATTGTTCTGTATTCCACAAAATAAAAGCCATGTCAAATATATTAGTTTTCAGTGACACTAAAAAGAAGAAAGTTGAATACAAAAAAAAATGAGTGAATAAACGAAGGGATATAATTGTCCTTATTTTTTAAAAGGAACATAATTGTTGCCTGAGATGAAAAGCAAACATCATTTCCTCTAGGTCCTATCTATCAACAACTAAATACATAAGATATCCAAGAAAAACTAAAGTTAGTTTAATAAGTATACACTAAATAATGTATGAGTCAGTGATTAACCTAAAGATAATTATCCAGTTGAAACTTTAAAAACTTTTTAATTTTTCCTTCCCTTTCTCTAGGCTTATTTTTTGTAGGATTATAGTTTAGATGTACTGCATTTACTACCCTTAATATACCATTAGAAATAAAAAGTGCCACCACACATTTAATGAGAATCCATTCAAGGGAATTATCCCCCATCAGTGAAGTGTGTTCTTAATCCTTTTACTTATTTCTCTACTTTTGTCTTTTCAGATCCAGAATAACTGAAAAACATATAAAGCAAAATGCCTCGTATTCCCACCCCTTTTCTCTTACTAGGCAATTATCCATGTTAAAAACTGTGAATTCAAGTTGATAACCTCCAATTCTATCCCAGCACTACAGGGTTAGCTGTTATCATCCTTTTTTCTATTTTCATGATGTGCTCTCCAATAATGAGAAATCTGACAACCACTATTTTTATATCTTTACTCATTTCAAGCCTATGGAATGTTTTTACTTTAGCTAACTTAAAGTGCTAAAAAAAAAAAAAACAAAAAAAAAAACACCTGCCATCCAACAAATCTTTTAATTTATTTACACATCTTTTGTTTGATAATTTGCATTTTGTTTCTTTCAGTTTCTTTTAAATATTTCTTTTTTGCTGAAATTCTGTTTACTCTTTATAAGCATATTTTCCTTTAAGTACTTGAGTATAGATTTAATAACTACTTTAAAGAACTTGCCCAATATCAGTGTTATCAGAGTCACTTTTCAATGATTACTTTTTCTCTGGATAGAGTAGTCCATTTATTATTTATATCCTGGATATTCTAATATTAATGACAATGCAATGTTGTAACATTTATTGGTATGTTTCCTAAACTTTGTATTCCATCATTTTTTTCTAAAGGATACGTTTTATTTCTAGTAGTTACTTGAATGGACTCATAATCTTGACTTGTTCTCTGCTCTATGCAGAATCTATAACTTGGTTCATTTGTTTTAGTCTTTTAGTAGATTACAATAGGATTTTTGAAGTCTCCCATATGCCTTTTTAAGCCCAAAATTAGTCAGGTTTTATCAGTCTATGCAGATTTGTTCCCACCCTCTTCTCTTCCTTTCTGTTAATTTGAGTGCTGCAGTCAGATTTCAAAGGTTTACTTTGATTTGGTTTTGTATGTTCCTTTGCTTTTCCTCCCATCTGATATTTGCCTTTCTTTTTCTGACATACTTTGCTTGGTATAACTCCCTCCAATTCCATTTGTGATGAATAGTAAGCGATCATCTTTTTTTACAGCTGAGTAGTATTCTACTGTGTGTATATATATACAATTTTGTTTACTCATATATCTTAGATAGATCCCTAAGAGTGGGATTGTCAGATCATAGGGACAAATCAATTTTTTTTAAGATTTATTTATTTATTCATACAGAACTGGGGTACAGGCAGAGATGCGGAGGATGAGAAGATTCACCAGGTACAGAGCGGGGAGCAGAACAGGCAGACTGACAAAGTACACTGCTGAGGGGAGCAGCGGGAGGGTCAGGAGAGGTCTGCCACGCCATGTGGTCACCTCCAGGGCAGGCGGGGATCAAACTCATGCGGAAGTGGCTTTAGCTTCTTAGTGCTGTGCTTTAACCCGCTGCATCACCAGGGAGGGCCAGGACAAATCAATTTTTAACATTTTTATAGTCCTTTATATAGGTTAAACTAATTTATAGTGCCACCATTAGTGTAGGAGTTTTCCTTTTTCTCCACCACCTTTACCAAAATTTGTTGTTTCTGGTCTTTCTGATCAGATTATTCTCACAAGTTCAGAACAGTGCTCATTGCGTTTTTGATTTACATTTCCTATTAATAATTGATGATGAACATTTCTTCATGTGCCTTTTTGCCATCTATCTTCATTAGAGAAATGTCCATTTAGCAATTCTGCCCATTTTTTGATTGGGTTATTTGTTTTCTTGTTCTTGAGTTCTCTATCAGTCTTGGTGGGTGTTTGATGTGCATAGCCACATGGTAGGGTATCTGTTTTAGTGATAGTTTCTTTTACTGTACAGAAGTTTTATAATCTGTTATAATCCTATTTGTTAATTTTTGCTTTTATTTACCTTGCTGTTACTCAAGTCCCTAAAAACATCACTGAAGCAATATCATAGAGAAGTTTGTCTATGTTTCATGTCATCCAAGTGTTTGGCCCACTTTGGATTTTTTTTTTTGTACAATGTGAGGTAGTAGTTTAATTGCACTCTTGCATGTGACTGTCCAGTTTTCCCAACACATTCATTGAGCAGGATAACATTTTATTAATAATTTTTTCAATTCAAAGGTTTTTGTTTCATTTTATTTTTTAAAGTATGTTATTTCTTATTTATTCATTCATTTTTCCCTTACTGAAGTAATATTTGATTATACCACCTAGATACTTTAGTTAAAAGTTGAAGTTTTATAGCCACAATTTTTAACTTGGTAGAAAAATTCCTTAATTATGTACTTAAACTGAAAATTTTAGTTATTTAATCAAGTATAGTACCTACTCTTTGTAAGTACTGTGCCATGTATTAGGGCTATAACCAAAAGCAGAAATACTTCCTTCTCTCATGGAGTTTATAAACTAGTGGAGGAAAAATTAATGAAATACATATATTTTGGAAGAATGATTTGAAGGCAAAAGAAGCACTTTAGTATTGGAATAAGGAATATTAAAACCTGACTTGTCTAAGGAGTTTAGAGCAAAAAGTACTTATTTGATGGACAAATATATAAACTAAGATCTGAGGGATTAAATGTCTTTACTTAGTGGGTCAAGTAGAAGAATCAGCATGCCCAAAGACCTTGTTACAAAATTAACCATGGAATTTTTGGGAAGACAAAAAATAGGCCAGTGAAGCTAAAAAAGAAAGGGTGAAGAAAGCACGGTATAAACTGTTGGCCAGTATGGTTAACCTCTTTGTATCTTGTAGGTCATGTTAAGAGTTCCTTGATCTTAAAAGTGAGGGAAATTTGTGTTGTTATTTTAGAAAAGGTAATGAGTTTATATTTGCACATAAATGGACTGATTTTTTTTTTTTTTTGTAATAAGGAAAACTGAGTGGAGGGGGAATCAAGAATGGGGAGAACAGTTAGGAGGCCATTTTAGAAATACAAGTGAGAGGTAGCTTGGGTCATTGGTCTAACCATAGGAAAAAAGAAAGGTAGAAGTTTTTTTGTTTGTTTGTTTGTTTTTGTTTTTTTGAGAAACACTAGGAGGTAATTCAAAAAGTCTTGGTGATTTCTTAACTTTGATGTATGAAAGGTAAGGAGATGTGAAGAATGTCTCCTGGGATTTTTTGTTTGTATTAGGTGGATGCTGTAGGGGGATTCATTAACTAAAATATAAAATACTGAGAGAGGTATAAAATTGGGAACAAAGAGTATGTGTTCAAGTTTCAAAATACTGTGTTTGACATATAATTGTTACAGCCAGTTTGATATTGAGCAGGTTGTTGAATACATGGAGCTAAAATTCAAAATAGTGTTCCATGTTGAAATTATCTGGCAACTGGAATAATGAGTATAGGATTGCATTGTCTATAACTACAAAAATAAGAATAAGTGAGCTCTATTATATTTACTTCTATATATGGGAAATATATGTTCTATATTTTCTGCAACCTGATTCCAAGGATTCGTGTCTTCCTTACTTCTAGTTTAACTCTGACCTTACCAATTGCTCCTCCTTTATACTCTTTCATTACTACTTACAGGGGTAGAGGGAAAAATCCAGTTTTTAAACTTTAATATTAAACTAAATTTGTAAATTTGTCTTCAAAAACTGGTATCTTAGCTGAGATTTAAGAGAAGCCATGACTCACTAATTTCTTATTTTTTTTAAGGATTTATTTATTTATATATAGAAGAACTGGGGTACAGACCAGAACTGGGGAAGGGGAGAGTGAGAGTATTCACCAGAGACAGAGTGGGGAGCAGAACAGGCAGATCAACGAAGTACACTGCTGAGAGGAGAAGTCTGCTGTGCCATGTGGGTTAGCTCCCAGGCTGGGGATGGAACTCCCGCTGCAGTGGCTGTCAGTAGCTTCATAGTGCTGTGCTTTAATGTTGCAATTTAACCTGTTGCATCACCATGGAGGGCCCTTTAAAAGGCTTATTATTATTGGCCCTCCCTGGTGGTGCAGCGGGTTAAAGCACTGCACTAAGAAGCGGAAACCAGTTCCTCATGAGTTCAATTCCCGCCTGCCCTGGAGGTGACCACATGGAGTGGCAGACCTCTCCTGACCCCCCCGCTGCCCCCCTCAGCAGTGCACTTCGTCCGTCTGCCTGTTCTGCTCCCCACTCTGTCTCTGGTGAAGTCTTTCGCCATCCCTGAGTCTCTGGCCTGTACCCCAGTTCTGTATGCACAAATAAAAAAAAAAAAAACTTCATTTTAAAAAAGCTTATTATTTAGCAAAGACTGAGTTTAAGTTTACTGATTCATTTTTTGTTAAAGACTCAGCATATAAAGCAAATGAACAATAAAAACAAGACAGCAAATAAAAGATATTCCAGGCTGAGAAATTATAGCTGTCTAACACATTAGAAAGCTGTGTTTATGTTTGAAAGATGAAGTGATATTAAGTCCAGGATTCCTTCCTGGACTGATGCTTTGACAGACTATTTACAAATCATTGTAATATTCTCTGTAAGCAAACTTCATCCAGGTAATTCCTTTAGCACAGTTCCCAGAAATTTATATATAGGGAAATTTTCTGTTTCAGGATGTTACTATTCTGAATTCTTTATTGTTTCTGTACATCTGACTTAAAATAGCAATTGATTTTCATTTTGACAAACTTTAACTTTTTAAATTGCATTCTGAAAAAGGGGGAAGTTCAAAATAAGGAGAAAAGTAAAAGAATGAGTATCTATTGAACACATACTTTGTTCCAGATTCTTTCCCACCTGTCATTAAAATATCGATAAAAGAGTTTTCATAGCCATTCTTTCATTACATTTCATTACAGTTACCTCCATTTCTTCTGAGAGGACAGCGAAATCTAGAAATAAATTAAAATTTTTCAACTCTTCAGCTGGTCAATATATGTCATTAAGCTCTCTTTTACTGTTATAGTTTAAGTTTAAATATTCATATTTTATTATTTTTTGAACTGGTGTTCCAGATATAGTTTATAGTTAACCTTCTGACAAGGAAAATTACCTTACCACATTTGCCATTTAACCTTATTCTACTAAAAAAAACTTTAAAATTTGACTTATTTTAAAAATGCAGTACAGGGCCCTTTCTGGTGGTACAATAGTTAGGACACAGACTGCAAGCTGGCTGCAGCCGCTTCTGTGCTTCTGTATGAGTTCAATTCTCTGCCTAGCAGGTGACTTACAAGGTGCAACAGACTGACTTCTGACCCACCCATTGCTCAGCAGTGTACTTTATCAATATGCCTGTTCTGCTCCCCACTCTGTGTCGGTGAATCCTCTCACTCCCCCTGCACCTCTGACTTCTACCCCAGTTCTGTATGCATAAATAAATAAATCTTAAAAAAATAAAAATGTAATACAGCCTTTTCATTCAGACTTATAGGACTTTCCCATAATTATTGTGTAGGAAAGAAAGTCAATATACAGTTAACTGACATCTTTTATTCAGTGTATGCATAGATCTACCCCTGTGTAATTCACCCAATCAAACAGAAAATGTTCTAACTCCTCGGCAATGCTATTTACAGAAGGAGAACTTGAAGCAGAATGGTTGCAGGATGTGGGCTTATCTACACTGATATCTGGTGATGAAGAGGAAGATGGAAAAGCCTTGCTCTCAACACTGACTCGAACTCAAGCAGCTGCAGTAAAAAAGAGATATAACACTTATACTCAGACTATGAGGAAAAAGAACAAGCAAGCTGTAAGGGATGTCAGAGATATCTTTGGAGTCAGTGAATCTCCTGTAAGTAATGAATATGGCTTAAAAAAGTTTGATTTGATGGGGGTGATATATGTGTGTGTGGAAAAAAACACCTAAAATAGTTGATTGCCCTCCCATTTTTAGACAATATTAAAGAAAATAGTATAGCATACAAATTTTACAGATTTGTAAGGTAAGTGATAATTCCTTATCTACCATAAAGCAATCCCCCTCAACACTAAATTCATTCCCTTCATTGGTTGTTGAAGTTGAAAAGTAAGTACGTTGGCAATAGAGAAAGTGTTTGTGGATGGGTACACAGAGCCTTTACTTAACTCTTAGTAAAGACTTAATTGATGGAAACTCTTGGGATAAGTAAAGGTATTTGTGGGAAGAGGCTCAAGTATTAAAGCAGGTTAAGGCAGTTTGTTTTAAATGTGTGTGGTGATGGGAGGGTGATGGGAGAGTAGGTAGGGTAGCCTTTATGTTCAAATAAATTACAGTGTTCAAAGGTGATAGAGGGCAGTGTTACTTAAATAGGAGAGAAAATGACTTAAAAAATTAAATAAATAAAGGAAGCACTACATGTTTTCTGAGAAATGACCTGTGGCAATTCCAGTTTATCCTTAGCAGTTCTATGACCACAACTTTATTTTGAAAACTAAGAATCATGTTCTCTTAGTTGTATGTATGATATACTGTTAGCTCTGCCTTACTATTCATTTATTCATTGCATCAGTGCAATGTTGTATTACAGTAATTGAAAAATAATCTGCAACTAATATTATGTATTTCCCTATAAAGGTCCTACATTAGGTTCTATGCAGATAGGATTCTTGGAACTTTTCGTGTGAGTAGGATACCCAATATTAAAAAGCTCTTGATATTCTGCTGTAGTTTCAGATAAAATTGCCTAGGGTAAGTTACTTCCTAATTCTGATTTAGGCTTCTTGTCTGTTTAATTATAATATCAATAAAAATCAAAGCTCTTGGGTAGAAATATGGCTGAAGACAATCCCATTTTAGATTATGTGTCATATCTTCTCTTAGTTATATTGATTAAACTAGATAGTTGCCAGGGAAGCTCACATATATTTAGTTAACCTTTGTGTTTGTCCTAATGATGTCCCAAAATAGCACAAACCTTAAAACTTTCTACAGTAGTAGAAATGATCATTTTCTGTGCTGTTTGATCTGGTAACCTCTAGACACATGTGACACTAGCACTTGAAGTGTAGCTTAATGTGCGTATGGAACTGAATATTAATTTTATTTTTTTGTAATTGATTTAAATCTAAATTGTCACATGTTGCTTATAGCTAATATATTGCACAGCATAGTTGTTCAATAAAAAATACAACAGTTGTAGGATTTTCTTTATGTAAGGCTATACCTGAGGTAAGCATAGTTTGAGTTCTTTGCTGTTTAAACTTTCATTCTTGTTGAAACCTGTTCTTTCTGAATTTTGATATTTTCTACAGCTGTGATTAAGTCAGGTGACTCGCACAACTTCAGTCAGGGATCCCATCTGTAGGTGTTCTATCCAAGATGCCAATCAAAGAAAAGACTTTCCTTGCAGAGTTCAGAGTTCAGCCCTTTCGATCATTGTTCAGTTATCTCCCAGATCATCTTGGGAGTCCTAAGAACTTGACTTGGATGCTTCCTTTCTGACTTCTTCCAGTTACTTCAGACTAAAGTCTTTATTCTTCCCTACCATAAAATAAGATAGGGTCCATAGCTTCTCCTGAATCCTGGTTATTCAAGAAAATACATGTCTAACCTCTAAAATTCCTAAAATTCTGGCCCTGTAGTGAAATAGAAACAGGGAAAGAAAGTTCTTTCCCTCCCTCTTTTTCACATGGACCCTGAAGGGACACATAAACCAGGCACTTATACATTGGGGATTTCAGTATTAAAAAAAAAAAAAAAAAAAAAAAAAAGATGAAGATTCTTACTTTTCTATTATACACAGTTGCAGTAAAATGCTTGGAATTTAATTTCAGGAAAGGCAGAGAGAAGGCCAAGGAGCGCTTACCCATCTGTGGTAAGAGTCGAGAATGGTAGACATGGGGGGACTGTTCCTCTTGCCCGCCTTTCTCTCCCCTCCAGTCTTACTCTTAAAACGCTAGTTCTAGAGTGAATTGAGAATGGGAATGAGTCATGGAGGATGGTCATAGGTGGAGGAAAGACCATATATTCTAGGGAGTAGAGATTTTATACTATTCTGAAAAGTGGGGCATCTAAAAGTCAGACTGGCATTGTACATGCTGCTTAAAAATTCAAATTGTTCCTTGTGTTAAAAAACATAAACCTAGGCTTTAAAATTATGATATACTTATACTATAGAAGGGCAAATATCTATCTTTACTGATTTTTCCCCCTAAAATTGCAGCATTTGTTTCTGAAGGTAGAGAAATTTGGGAGTGTACCTAAACTCTTCAGTTTCCTCTTTTAATTTGGCATCATAAGCACCAATTCTGCCTTCCTGTTCTCTCTTTTTTCTAGTCTCTCTGGTTGCTCTTTGCTCTCTTTTCTATGCCTTCCCTTCTCTGTCCCTATCTTGCTTCTCCTCTTCTTCCTTCTTCTTTCCCTTTTGTATATCCCCCTATCTATATCCCCTCCTATCTTTATTTTTGTCTTTGGCATCATTTACCTACATTAATGGAATAATTACCTAAAATTTTCCATTACTCTGTCTTAATGAAGATTTTATATTTAGTTGATTTGATATTTAGTTTCAAAAAGTGATTTTGCATTAACCTTAATCCAACTCAAGTACCTAGTGAAGATATACATTCACTTATTTAAAATGTAGATATGTAGATTACACTAGTTTTTATTTCCTTCATTTTTATCAGTTATCTCCTTCTGAGACTCCTCATAAATGACTCTGGCATTATTTGCATTGAATCTCTGTTCTTTCATATTTTCTGAGTTTTATCTGTGGCATGTTTGTTCTGCATTCATGGATATCTCTCAGTTTCTGTGTGTTTTTTTGTTTGTTCGTTTGTTTTGTTTTGTTTTAAGATTTTATTTATTTATTTATGCATACAGAGCTGGGGTACAGGCCAGAGGTTCAGGGGCAGGGAAATGATTCACCAGAGGTAGAGTGAGGAGCAGAACAGGCATATTGATGAAGTATACTGCTATGGGGAGCAGCAGCGGTTGGGCCAGGAGAGGTCTACCACACCATGTGGTCATCTCGGAGGCAGGTGGGGATCGAACTCTTGCTGAAGTGTCTTTAGCTTCCCAGTGCTGTGCTTTAATCTGCTGCGCCACCAGGGAGGACCCCAATTTCAGTTTTTATATCTGTAATTTGACCATCAGTTTATTCATTTTTCTGCCTGTCATTAATTTTAAAAATTCAAGAGTCATACTGTTAATTTACTGAAGTATCAATCTGATTTCCCCTATATTTTGACAACCTAGTCCTGCTTCCAGATTGCAGTAGCCTCTCAGTCCTCTGAAGATACTAAATTAAACCCACAATTACAAGGTTTTCTTCTTTTCTTTTAATTATTTGCTATCTTCAGGGCCATCTGTTTATTTTTATCATTTTATTTTTCATTTCCATTGCAGTTTTTAAAATAATTTTGATCCTGTATTGATTTATAGATATTATAGGTTGATTAGGGTGGTGATAATGGCATATTTCCCCATAGTTATATATACCTCCTTGCTCCCAAATTCTTTCTTGTGAATAGAAGTCTGGACCTGTGTGAGTGGCAAACTTTGAACATTTCATTTTAAGACACATAAATGTGATACCAGTGAAAATTATCAGTCCTGAATAATCATAATTCATTTTCCTTTAGGCAGACCTATCTTCCCTTTTTTTATACTCCTGTTCCTATTTTTCAGAAGGTCCCTTTGAAGTACAAACAAGTTCTTTTTCTCTTCATGACCTTGACACTCACATTAGGACAGCCATTGCAGCCCCCCTTTTCCCCATCCTGAACATCCCCCCAACCCCAGGAATGGTGGTCACTATATCAGCGAGAGGAACCATCTTGGGTTTTACCCAGACTCACTTTCAGCTACTGGCTTATGAGAGGTGTTAGGGGGGGGGGGGGGGGGATAGTTTTCTTTGCCTCATTTCTCAGAAAAACACTCTTTAATTTACTTTGGTCATTGTCTTCTGAGCTGAGGGATGCCTTTTCTCTCTTTCTGTTTTCATTCTGGGTATCTGCTTTTTCTGGTTGGTATTTGCTTCTCTATATATATTCTCTTGTAACTGTTTTTCAGACCAAATCTGTCTTTATCAAACCATTCTTGCTTGCATTTATCTTCCAGTAACATATAGCAATTTCTGTCCTAATGGACAGAAATTGGAAATGCTTAGTGATTTCTACATCTATTATTTTAAAAAAGGAATCTCGACATTTTTGATTTGGAGAGGGAAAAAGAAAGTGGTATGTGCATTTGCTATTTTGATCCAATATTCGTATGCCTGTTCTTAAGCCAGTATTTTTTCCTTTCAAAAAAAAAAAAAAGGCAGTTTTTCCTTATTAAAGTAGTACATACTCTTTACTGCAAACTTTGAAAATATACGAGTGCAAGTTGGATCCCAGGCCCCAGAGGTGTCCTACATGGTGCTGCAGACCTCTCCTGACCCGCCTACTGCTCCCCTCAGCAGTGTACTTCGTCAGTTGGTCTGTTCTGCTCCTCACGCTGTCTCTGGTGAATCCTCTCACCACCCCTGCACCTCTGGCCTATACCCACAATTCTGTATGCATGAATAAATAAAAAATAAATCTTTAAATAAAATATATATATGCACACACATTATTAATATATGCATATTAAACTTCTTCCCATCATGATCAATGTTTAAATTTATTTTAAATATTTTACATTATTCTTAATTTTATACATTTATATATTTTACATTATGCATTTTGTGTATTTTTTCATCTCAGTTGTAATCTCCATGGACGTCCCACCACCATTTCACCCATGTGCCATCACCATAGTCCCATGTGCTCTTCCCACTCCAATTTTGATTCTGTTCCCCTCTCCTCCCTTCCTTACATATCAATTTTGGCATTTCTTTCATTGCTTGGATTAAACTTTCATTACCTCTTAACTTGTCTTATATTGCAATATTTTTTGGTCCTCTTTATTGTATGCTAATTTTGTCTAAATTATTTTATAAAGCCCTTCTTCTAAATTTGTCACAAGTGATTATAATTCAGTCCCACCAATATTTTAATTCAGCTATTATATTGTTAATTTTTTTAAAGATTTATTTATTTATACATACAGACCTGGGGTACAGGCCAGACGTGCACGTGGTGAGAGGATTCACCAGAGACAGAGTGAGGAGCAGAACAGGTGGATCGATGAAGTACACTACTTAGGGGAGCAGTGGGTGGGCCAGGAGGGGTCTGCTGTGCCATGTGAATCACCTTCCTGGTGAGGATTGGATTTGCACCAAAATGGCTATGGCCAGTTTGCAGTGCTGCTTCCTAACCCATTACACCACCAGAGAGGTCCCATATTGTTAATTTTTAAGAACTCTTTTTTTTTTTATTTTATTTTAAGAACTGGGGTTGGTGAGCAGAACAGGTGGATTTACCGCAACATGCTGATAAGTGGAGAGTAGGTGAGACAGGAGAGGTCTGCTGTCTGGTAAGGATTGATCTCTGGTAAGGTATCAAACTCTGACCGTAGAGGTGATGGTGCTGAGGCTTAATTTATAGGCCACTAGGGAAGTCCTAATTCTTTGGAAATATTCCTGTTAACACTGACTTCTCCTTTATATTATAATTAGTCCTGATTTGTAGTTGCAATAACCCTTCAAATCTCAGAAATTATTAAATCACTGTAAGCATTTGCTCAAATTTCTTTTTTTTTTTCCAGAATGCTTATCACTGCTTTTTTTTTTTTTCAGGATTTTTGATTTTTCTCCATCTGACTTTTTCATATTGATTACTTCAATGACTGATATTTAGTGATTAAATTTATTAGCAAACAGTATTAGTTAATGACAAGATATGCCATTGCTGTATGTATTTGTTATATATATTTTCCTGACTCTCAAATAAGAGGGATAAATTTGGATCCTGTGTAATTAAGTAAAAATATATAAACAGTATGTGAATGGAAGTTAATAGCATACATTCATAAATGTACAAAGATAAACACACATACACACACACCTCTTTAATGCCAAAGGGAATGTGATGCATGAATTCATGTCTTTCTCTTTCAGACAAACCCGATGTTTCCTTTTTATTTTTCTATCCCTGCCTTCTGTGAAAATCTAGAATGACATGCTTGGGTTCCAACTCTGGCTGTGTAACTTGAAAGCCTTCATAAGGCAAATAGCTTACTTCATTTAAAATGCTTTTCTAGCATTCATACTTAGCCACTGCCTGCTGTCCAGATTGCAGGGGGCTGTTGGGAGGCCTGGCTGGCCTTTCTATTGAGTAAATGGTTTGTAGTAATTGTAGACCAGAGATGTGGGGAAGTGAGAAGATTCACTTGAGAGAGTGTACAGAGCAGAACAGGGGAATTTACTAAAATGCACTGCTGAGGGGAGAGACTGAGGTCTGCTGTGCCATGTGGGCCAGCTCCCTGGCTGGGATTCCAACTCAGGCCGTAGTGGTGATAGTGCTGAGACTTAAGTTCTAGGCCACCAGCAAGGTTCTCATCAGTTTGCTTTGTGTTATCAGTCCTTTCCTTGCCAGCAAGTTTGTCTCTTATAAGACAAACTTGTTCTTAGGCTGCTAGTTCCTCCATAATTATGAAGTAGTTTTACTTTTTATTTTCCAAGAATTTCTAGCAGTTTGATTGGTTATGATTAGAGTACTTTGTGGCCAGTTTCATTTTGAATCTCTTATCCTATAGTTTTCTAATTTTGAGTGACTAGGTATGGTGGTTGTCAGTCGCTGTCTTGCCCCAAATTTTCTTGTATCTATTTCTTTAATATTGTTTCCACTTCAATATAGATGTGTTTTCTTTCACTGATTGAGTGCATACAATCTGGAGAAAAGTTAGAAATAATGAAAGATAAGATGAAAAATAATAATTTCTAAAGTCTCATGAAAACTACGATTTCATTACTATCAAGTAGATTTAATGTTGCAAAAAGTTGCTTCAATAATGGGATAGAATATTTGCCTCTGATTTTGGGGGTGTGCCATTATATTAGAAATGTTTGAAACCTTAGAGCATATTCAAGAAGCTTATAGTATAGCTCATTATGGTCAGAATAGTCTTCAAAAGCCTTCAAATGTCTCTCCCTCTTAATGAAAACCAGACTTTCTCCAGTAGTCAGTGAATGTGATGAAACAGGGTTTAGTCATATGTATTCATGAGATAATTTCATATGTGTCCAGTTTCAGAATTAAAAAATCTATTCTTGAAGGGCGGGAGGAAGGACAATTTATAGAATGTGATACTATCGCATAAGTGAGTTGCATTAAATGTCTTAATCATTTAGATATAGCTACAGAAAACATTTTAAAAATCCAATTTGCACTGAAATAATTATTGGCTGTTGCATTTTTATTTATAGTATAAAGAGTCAGACTAGAAATAAGGTCTTAAAGGCTATGAGGTTTGCATATTTCTTAGAATAAACTATTTAATGAATACTTTTGAGTTCTCCCTCCAAATTATTTACTGATTATCTGGGCAATGTGGACATTTCTTAGATTAAACTGTTTAATGGATTAAAAAAAATCTATTCTTGCTATTGATTTAGGAATCATCACAAATTATAATCAGAAAAAAAGTTTGGCTTTAAGGTTGCATAATTTATCAGTAAGCTGAATGACTTAGATAAGAAAGACTTATTCTCCTACAAAAACAAGAAAGTAAAACTGGTGTGGCTGGTATCACTAACATGAAGCTATCAATTTCTTCAGCTTTCCATTCTGTTCCATGAAGCATGTAAGCTAACATTTCTTGCTTAGAATATCTGAGCTTCCCAAACATACACATTCTGGAAGAAGCTAATTCCATCCACATTAACAGTAAAACATTAGCTTTCCTGGATTCTCTACCAGGTAGGATTCCACTTCTGTTTCATTGGCCATAACCATCACATGATCAGCTTTGGTCTTTTTACACACACAGCTTCTTATAGAAAATCATGATATTCGTAAGTTAAAGAGGAGTAGCAAAGTGATTTTTGGCAGTTAGCAGTGTCTGCTTTGGAGGTCAGCTTCTATTGTAGTGCAGTACATTTTTGAAGATCCATACAATTAAGAACAATTTGGTGAATGCGATTATCATTGCACGTAGCATTGACTCTCTATCTCCACATGTCTATACATTTTACAGATTCTGGTGTAATGTATAATCGAATAAACAATCACATTGAAAAAGATAAGCCTGGATAAAAATGACTCCTTTTCTCTCATTAGCCTGATGATCGATGTGACAACCATACAGCTCAGTTGGATGGCCCCCAGGAAGAAAAAGAACTGACAGGAGTTATCAAAACAAGTGCTTCCTTGGTAAGTTAGAGCATGGTAAGGATGAAAGAAGAAGCTATTTCTTCAACAAATGTGCAAATCTTCAAAACAGTGAGCATTATTTAAGATGACTGGAAAACCACAGGTATCAGCATACTATCTACCTTTAGTCAATTTGTAATTGAGCCTAAGTTTAGTAGTTAACTGAAAAAAGTGCATGCTTTATAAAATCAGGCCCATTCTCAGAATCCATGTTAGTACAGGGATTTCTTTTGGACACATTTAGTTCCTTTGCAATTTGGCTTTTATTTAAAAGCATCTTCATAGTAGTGTTGATTCTGTGGAACTAAGGGTTTACCTGTTGGAGCAGCAGGAACCACAGTTTGTCTTTTGTTTCCCCAGCACCTGGGAAATGTCAGGCACTTTACTTGAACATTATTTTACCCCTAAGTCTTCAGTGTCTCTCTCCCACCCACATCCCCCTGCCTTTCCCCAGAGCCACAGTAGGGCAAAGTCAGACATGACTTAACAACCAAGAAAGGTACTTTGTTTATAGAGTATTTCTTAGCCCTTTCTCACAACTGTATTTTCTCTCCCTTGGTGAGACATTTATAGTTTTCCATTTATTTTTCATTGTCCATAGTTCTTCCACTAGCTTCCTCTCATTTAGAAAAAAAAAGGCAAAATTTATGCATCAACCCCAATATGTTCTCGTATCTAAGCTGTGATGATATTGGAGAGACTTCCTTTGAGGTGGCGTGACTAAAATGATTGAACACTGTTGTGGGTCCTCTGCCTTGAGGCATTTTCCTTCCTAATTCTGAAGAAACAGTAATAGTCATCTGCAGACTCTTCTCCATTTACTTTCTTCTTTGGTGGTGTTTTGATGGAAAGAGAGAGAAATTTTGGAAAAGAATACACATTAGTTCTAGAAAATCTCACTTGTGTAAATGTTGCTTTTTTTTTTCTTTTTTAAAATTTATGTGTTTTTTTGTTTGTTTGTTTGTTTTTCAATTTAGAAAAGAGGCATGCTTGGTCATTGGACTTAACTGCCTTATTTTGTTCCATGATATAATCTCTATTATTCACAGAAATAGTACAAAATTTCTTTTCATAAAGAAAATTGCCCACAATCTGCCCCTTCCTGGCATTTCCAGCCCTTATTTTCCTTGACTTTAGCACATAAATTCTCATCTTTTGTAAACAAATAGATTTTCTCTTTCAAGAACATACTTTTAGTTTCTAAGTGGTAAACTTTTGTCAGTCTCATCTTTTAAAATAAAATATTTGAATAGATACTTACAAAAGAAAACATAGGGATTTGAAATGGCTCCTAAAAAGGTTTTTAGTATCACTAGTGATTATGGACTTAGAATTAAAGCTACAACGAGCTATTCCTGCATACCTTGTAGAATGGCCAGAATTATGCAAACTGACTTTACTAACTGGTGCCTAGGATGTCAGTCAACTGGATTTTCATACAGTGTTGGTGGCAATATAAATTTGTTGCTCCAATTTGGAAAATAATTTGGCAGCTTCTTCAAATGTTACATAGATCCAGCTGATTCACCCAGATAATATATATTCATATAAGGTCTTATCTGCAAATATTTTTTTTTAAAGATTTATTTATTTATTCATACAGAACTGGGGTACAGGCCAGAGATGCGGAGGGTGAGAGGATTCACCAGAGACAGAGTGGGGAGCAGAACAGGCAGATCGAGGAAGTACACTGCTGAGGGGAGCAGCGGGCGGGTCAGGAGAGGTCTGCCACGCCACATGGTCACCTCCGGGGCAGGCGGGAATCGAACTCATGCGGAAGCGGCCCCAGACTCTCAGTGCTGTGCTCTAACCCGCTGCGCCACCAGGGAGGGCCACTGCAAATATTTTTAGCATAATAACTGCAGACTAGGAGCAGCTCAGTATTGTCTACAAGATAAAGGATCAACAAATAGTGGTACATCCACATGGTAGAATGCTACTCAACAAGAAAAAAACAATGAGCCATTGATTCATCTGATTGACAAACAGATGAACCGCAAATAATTGTATCATATAAAATAAGAGTCCCTATCCAAAAAATTATTCGATTTACATAAAATTATAGAAAATATAATAGTGAGGGAATGAATATCAGTGATTACCTGGAAACTGGGAATAGGTGAGGAGAAGAGGGGAGTTCTAGCAGAGAATATGAAGACATTTTGGGGAATGCTAACTTTGTTCAATGTCTTGACTGTGGTGATCGTTTGGCAGGCCTAAATATGCATGTGTTTATTGTTTATAAGTCACACCTCAATAAAAAGCATAAAATCAATTCCTTAAGAATAATTTAATTCTTATTATCAAAGTGATATTTGTCAAAACTCATAAAACTTTGTACTTTATACTCTTTAAATATGTGTATCAGTTACACCTCAATAAGCCTGTTTAAAAAGAGAGGCCATATAATGTTTTATGCTTTCATTAATATCCAATATGTTTCTTGTGCAGTAAGCTACTTACAATAAAAGAATAGTCTATTTATGTTTTACATGTGGCTGATCTTTGACTCTCAATCCAAATGCCTCTATTGTTTTTCAAAAAAACAATCCAATCTATAGTCATCACAAATCTCTATCAATCATTTCTTATACAGCTAAACAGAGTAATGTTTCCTCATGTGCAGTTGACTTAATGAATTGTTCAGTTGAGGTGTTAGTTTATTCAGACAGCAAAGTCATGTCTCTGTTTACAATGTCTTCAGTGAAAATCAAATAGTTGCTTCAAATAGTTGTTATTGATTCATAATTCCCTGCAAAATACAATCATACCATCTGTTAAAAATTATCAGCTACATCTGTGTTTGTTTCATAGAAAAGAAAAGCTAAGGAAACTTGGCTTAAACAAGTGGGAGTATATTTTAACATAGTTGGTAGACCAAGCTGGTACAGCTGCACTACAAAGCAAAGTCAACCTTAGTATGAACTTCTAACTTTTTCCTTTTGTGCTGCCATTGGAATATGTGAGTTTAATCCTTAGACTTAACAAGACGATTAACATATTTTGGGTACCATGCTGATGCTTCCATTAGGAACATGTGCCAACAGACTGTCCAAATGAAGAAAAAAAAATCTTAGCTCTTCTAGAAAACCTGAAGAGTAGAATTTCTCTTCTTTTTCATTCACTGGCCTGTCCATTCTGAGTATGACATTTGTGTTTTCTTTTTTTTAAATATTTATTTATTTGTGCATACAGAACTGGGGTACAGCAGGCCAGAGGCTCAGGGACAGCGAGAGGCTTCACCAGAGACAGAGTGGGGAGCAGAACAGACAGATCGACGAAGTACACTGCTGAGGGGTGCAGGGAGCAGGTCAGGAGAGGTCTGCCACGCCATGTGGTCACCTCCGGGGCAGGCAAGAATCGAACTCATGTGGAAGTGGCTTTAGTTTCTCAGTGCTGTGCTTTAACCCGCTGGGCCACCAGGGAGGGCCGACATTTGTGTTTTATTTCTTTCTCATTTTAACTGTCTGAGACCCATCCCTTTATAAAGTGTTTTTGTTTGTCTGTTTGCTATATGCAACATTTTTGAAATATGAACTTATTTTGAACTTCACCAGGATCTGCCCTTTATTCCATTAATTGTCATAACTCTTCAGTGAGTCCTTTTCACCTGTAAACTGTTTTCTTTCTTGATTTTCTGGACACTGTCCCCTGTTATGTCTCAACTTATTTTTTTCCCTTATTTTCAGTGGTCTTGCTCTTCTAGAACATATATTATATACATGTTTTTGTTTTGTTTTTGCTTTAGTTGAATTTCAATATCTCCTAAGTTTTCTCTCATGTTTAACTATTTGCTCTGGGTTCTACATTTCACCTTTAAGTTCCAGATTCATAATTTTTTTCTTGGCCATGATTATATTATTTTCAGATTGTCTTATCTTTTTGTAAATATCAAAAAACACTCTTATTTCCCAAGAATAACATTTTTCTCTTGGATTTACCTATTACTATCACCATAGGCTCTTGATTCAGAGTAACAACAACCCCTAAAATCACTGTGATAATAAGAATTAAATTATTACTAAGGAATTGATTTATTGTATGCTTTTTATTGAGGTGTGACTTATAAACAATGAATGCATGTATTTTAGATACTTAACTCAGTTATCTTTAACAAATGTCTTCGCTGATATAACTACAGTCAGTTAAAATATGTAACATTTTCTTCAACCCAAAAGTTTCTCTTTCCTGTTAGCTATACTCCTACTTCCATAGAGATAAGCTCTGCTGTGATTCTAACACCTTAGGTTGGTTTCAGTTATATCTAAGTGGAATTACAAATATGCACTTTTATGTCTGGCCTTTCACTCATAGTAATGGTCTTTAGATTCATCCATCTGTTGCATGTACTAGAAGTTTGATGCTCTTATTACTACTAATCCATTACAAAGCTGTACTGCGCTTAGTATATATATTCACTCAATGATCAACATTTTAGTTTTTTCCACTTGGGCTGTTTTGAACAGTGCCACTGCAAACACTCATGCTTGAAAGGGTATGTGTTTTCATTTCTCTTAGATAAAGATGGCAACATAATTCAAGTTCTCAGCAGACACAACCAACCCTAGCCCTGTGATTCAAGCTTTTAAACTCAGCAAAGAATAATAGGTAAATAGAAAGTGTGGTGTGGCAACCACACGTGCAAGGAGAATTCCTTTACCTCTAAAGCATAAACAATTTTGTAAACCAGCGTTACCTTAATAAATGAAAATTCATTTCTATCTTTAAATAAAAGCATCTCTCGGGCCTTCCTTGGTGGCGCAGCAGGTTCGAGCACAGCACTAAGAAGCTGAAGCCACTTCCCCATGAGCTTGATCCCTGCCCCGGAGGTGACCCATATGGTGAGGCAGACCTCTCCTGACCCGCTGCTCCCGTCAGCAGTGTACTTCGTCAGTCAGCCTGTTCTGCTGCTCACTCTGTCTCTGGTTAATCCGCTTGCCGCCCCTGCGCCTCCGGCTTGTACCCCAGTTATGTATGCACAAATAAATAAATCTTTAAAAATAAAAACATCTATTGACAGAAACAACAGCTACAAAAACACATTTTTAATGTGTTTACTAAGGGGATGATGATGTTAATGAAAGCTTGAACCTTGTGGATGAGCTCATGAGAAGTATAAATATTTTTTTCAGTATTTTCCAAATCAACTAAAATATAAATACTTAAGTTTTTGCAGTTATCTTCCAAATGTTAACATTATGTAGAGAACTCAGCTTTTGGAATGTGCAGCAGTGAGTGACATAAACAGTTGTGAGCAGCATGTGCTAGGAACAGACACACTTCCCTCAGTATCCTCAGGCTTTAGGTTTTCCATCACTACAGGGTGAGTTTCTGACCAGTATATTAGTCCTATCCATCCTCCAACCCCCTCCTTTTTCCCTGTACATCAGAATTTTATTATAGTAACAGAGTCCACCAAGGCTCCATGTAAGGAAATGCAGGGTGGAAAACATTCTATAAGGCAGAAGATATCACCGTACTTCCAGGTAAAACCAAAGATCTCTGGTCTTCTAAAATTGTCTATAGGGTCATAGAACAAGACTTGACTTTTTTTTTTTTTTTTTGAGTGGTTGGTATAGAAAATTGATGTATGATAAATTGAGTTGATAATTCCCCCGCAAATTGCTGATTGTGTGTTGTAAGCAGGGGAGTACTTAATATGAAGAGGGAGCAGGTAGGTTAATAAATACTCTCTCCAAATGCAAAACCAATGAATTCTCCAGAAAAGCTGATTTCATTTTTTGTTCTTTCAAGACTTTTACTGTAGCTTCTTGTTCCTTCTCCTTTAAATTCCACTGTTCACCTAGCACCAACCTACCCCAACCAATTAATTAATTTTATTTACACTGTACTTTGGGGACTTTATACTTGTGCTATATTTAGGAACTAACTACATATTTAAGAGAGAGGGTCTGTTTTACTCAAAGTGTTCTTCATTATTTTCCTGCACAATGTACATTCTATATCATTTGTTTTCTTGTCTCTATCTAGACATTTTATTTTACAGTTCCTTTAGGTGGTTTTTTACTTCACAAAACCAATTCCACTTGCTTTTTTATCTAGAAAAATGTGCTTCCTTTTTTTTTTTTTTTGAGATAGCATTGGTTTACAAAACTGTATGTGATTCAGAAGAATAGGAATACATTTCTTCAGATACTCCACACTCCGCCCCCCTCTCCCACAAAGGCACTCATAGTTTGCTACCACAGTCCATTGGATCCCCTCCACAGTTGGTCTGCAGCAGAATTCTTTGCTGATTTCTAGTTCTTTTAAAAATCTATTTCTTTTAAAATATACATTTTCTGCCATTTTTAGCATTTAGAGTGGGAGGGGAAGTAGGTGATTGCAATTTGTCTCCTTAAATGTCTGGTATTAATTCTTGTGTTTTATTTCTTTCATAAGAGTTTTTTCTTCATCTGACCACCTTTAGAAAACTTAGTGTGTTCAAGCAAGATGAATTACAACTTTTTAAGACAAAATACTGTAGTTCTTATAGACATCATAAATATATTTAATGTTGTAGTAAGATTCCTTCAGCAAGAGAAAGAATATTCATGTCTTACATGTCAGTGAAACCATTATACATTAAGGCAAAAATTTCCTATTGACAAAATAACTTGGTACTATTGCTATTAAATTCTCATCACCACAAAGATATGTATATAACCTGTTTAAAAATACTTCAAAGTTAATTTTGTGTTTGGCTGATGTAGTAGAAAATCAGTTGTTTTTATTCACATGGAGAAGAAACATAGATAGGGATCCAGATCTGACAGCATAGCCACTTGATGCTCCTCAGCATGGATCTAGTTGTTTGCTATTCTGCTCTTCCACCACGCTAGCCATCATCCTTATTTGTACAAAATGCCTTACAACTTGAGGCTGTCATGTCTGAAACTTTTTTTTTAAAGACTCATTTATTTATGCGTACAGAACTGGGGTACAGGCCAGAGGTACAGGAGAGGTGAGAGGATACATCAGAGACAGTGTGGGGAGCAAAACAGGCAGACTAAGTACACGGCTGAGGGGAGCAGCAGGTGGCTCATGAGAGATCTGCTGCACCATGTGGATCACCTCCAGGGTGGGGATCAAACTCATGCTGCAGTGGCTTTAGCTTCTTAGTACTGTGCTTTAACCAGCTGCGCCACCAGGGAGGGCCCCATCTCTGAAACTTTTATGGGAATATAGACATTGACTTTACTCTTTTTAGTCAGGAAAGCCTTAGATTTTCTTCACACTTTTAGTAAAATTATACTTGTATCTCTTTGCCCACAATTGTTACATGATCATTCTTAGCTACAAAGGAGTGGAAAACAGTTCTTTGGCTGAACACCTAATGCCTGGGATAAAACCAAAATATTGTATGGAGAATGGAGTCTGTGGCAGACACTAGAGCCAGCATCTGCCATGTAGGTGGCTCCTAGTTGTGATCTCTGAAGGAGATCACAGCACCTCTGCCCAGGACTCATAACCCCCTATATCGCCACACATATCTAAATGTGGACGTGTTGTAAATTGCAGAAGCACAACAGAAAGCATTTGCTTGAATAATAATGATGCTTTCATTTCTCCATTTAGTCAGATGATGCTTCTCTCAGCAGTACTACTCTCTCAGATGGCTCCCTGGATGAAGAAAGGAGTTTTGCAACTTCTAGGAGTGAGGGCTCCATGGTAAGTCATTGCATGCCACAGCAGTTGCACGTCAGGGTAAAATTACAAGCTGAAGACAAGAAACAGTTTCTTCACAACACGTAAGAAAAACTTGAACTAAGATTGTAAGGCAATCACAACTAGAAAAAAGGAGACTGAAAGCTGAGAGATGAATAGATCACAGTAGAACAGGATTCTGTAACTCATATAGTACATTCAGAGTCCATGGATGTTTGTTACGCATATCAAGTATGGAGGAACTTGTTAACTTTTGTCCTCTGGATTGAGTTCATACTGATGTCTGGTCTACCTCTGCCATCTTAACCCAGAAAATCCTTTAACTTGCAGGATAAATTAAATACCTTTTATTCTGATAGCAAAGGTGTTCTGCTATTGTCCATAGTCCCTGCGTTAGCTATCAGCACTAACCCAAACACGGACAGATTCACTCTGTTGGCCTTGAGTAACAGAACCTGTACCTTTGTCAAAAATAGTCATAGTTCCTCATAACCCACCTCCAGTGGTAGATCCTACTTGGTGTCTCTGTGTAGATGATCTGGCAAGGGTGATATGATAGACAACAGGAAGCAAGAGACCTTCTTAAAAGAGGTAGTGTCTTTCCTATGGCCAATGAATTAAAAGCAGAGAACATATCGGATGGCAATGGAGTGGACTCATACACATGTTCCTCAGGGGCAGAATGTGTAGTTTGAAATACATGATGGTTGACATGTACATAGGACACAAGTCCAGGATATCCCCACTGTTCAGGGAGGTAATGCTGTAAGTGCCATGTATCACACTCTCCTGTGTGCTTTCAAGTTTTCCATTATGGTTGTGTTGTTTGTTATACAGTGATCTCATAGACATGTAGGACAAAGTGAGTGACTTATCAATCAGTAACTTAGCAATGGCAGTAGTTTATGACATAGAGGAGCTGAGGGTTATTCACAATATCTGACCTACTGACTTCCTGCAAGAAAGCCCCCAGAATAATTTGCATTACAAAAAGCAGGCACTCATTCACTGTCTAGGCTAGGGAGGGGCCAGTTAATCCAATTTAGCAGATGGATTCATGCTATAGATTAATGAATTGACATTTAGTAGCTTAAACATCCAAACAGTGGCTTCCTTTTCTAAATCAATGTCTCTAATTTTCAGGAGTGTTTTTCTCATAGATGAATTATTTCAATTATTTTCAATTAATTCTCATAGGTGAATGAAGCATTTCTTTGTTGGAAAACTTAAGAAAATCTCCAAAAATTTGTCTACATCTTTTTAAATATTTTAATGCATGGTTTATCTGTATTCTGCAATGTTTATTTTGGGAACCACAAAATTGCAACATGAGCTGCATGTCCCTAAATATTTTTTGTCTTTTCATTGTACCACCAATTACAATTGACACCTATGTTATAATAATTGGCCATATGTTTATATACTGTTTACACAATAAGAAGTGTATCATCTCCTTTGAAATAAAATAGAAAGAAAGAAAAAAACCCACACACCAAGGCCCAGAATTAAGCTTCCCTTTTGCAGTTTTTAGCAGGAATAAAGGATCTTTTATAAAATAAGTATTTGGTTATTGCTAAACAAATATAAAGATAAAGAGACAACATTGGGCTCTGGGGGAAGATAGAACCGAATCTTTTGTGACTAACAAATAAAAGATTCTTGACAAAGTAGCAGGTTTTTATCCTCACATGTATTCACAGATGATAATTCCCACATTACAATTTGTATTGGTAGAATTTGTAAGTTTTTTTTTACTAGTACCCATCTAACTTGAGGAGTAAGCCACTTTGCAGATCTCTGCAGAGGATAGATAACATAATTCATAATATTACAGGGAAGCAGGGAAGTGTTTTTTTTTTTTTGCAGGGTCTCTGTGTAGACAGTAGCAAATTTAAGAGGGTAAAGTGAATGAGAAAACATACTTAATTTTTTAGTAGTTATTATCACTGTATTTTGCAGTGGAGGAATATGTTGATACATTAACACTAGCTCATGCAGTATTCTCCATAGATCAGATAACGTTCTGTGTGGTTTATATGGAATACGTTGTTGAAAATTCGTAATACTTCTTTAAGTGTCTTTTATCACTATCTTCACTTTATAGTTTAGGAGACTAAACAATAGAGAGTTCTACTTTCCTCAAAGTTACACAGTAAGTAATTAAACCAAGATGAGAACCTAGTCTGGGTCTAAAATCCTTGTCATTAACCATCTGTGTCATTTAAAATTACATTTTGAGCTAAAATGTGTTACCAATTGCATCAAGGACAACATAAACTATAAGTGTGTAGTTGTTAAACTATAGTATATGTTAATTCTTATAAAATGAAGCATTTTAATTTCTGCATCTTAGAAAAACTATGAGCAGCAAATAATTAAGAACAAAGAAGATGCACTTATTTTGACACAGTTGTCTTTTGAGAAACCTGGGTGAGTTGTACAGGTGTGAACTGAATGCAAAAGCAATGGAAGCCAGATGCAAGCTCTTTATGAAATAAAGAATTGTTGTTTGTGAAAAGAACTCTTTTATACTGCAGAACATAAATCATTTTAAAATGTGGGGGTAGGCAACTTATATAATAAAGTGTTCTATGTTCATCTTCTCTTGTTTTACAGTCCCTACTAGAGACTATTCCAGATATTCCAGCTCATTCCAATGGATCCTCAGATCCTGGACGATCTAATCAGAATGCAGTGAGGGGTGAGTGACACAACCACTAATTAAACATAATCTGTGTCTTCCTGCTTTTGTTTCAGTACTCATTAGACATAGCAGGGAGTTTTTAAAAGTAAAATTTGTTTTGCTTCTCCCCATTTCTATGCTTTCACCCCAGTATCCTCTTCTCTACCTCCAAGAAACCCACTCTGTCACACCAGCCAATTAAATGAACCAAATTGGAAAGAGAATTTCTTTGTTCCTTCTCTACCACTACATCATTTTAAAACTACTCATTTGGGGAGTATATTGACCTATTTCACAAGTAATCTGGATTTGCTTACAGTTGCAAGCACATCAGGAAGTAGGCCACTTCCAGGAGTCTCTAATTATGCTCAAATCTATGCAGCACTGAAACAGCTTGTCACAGACAAGTGACAGAGCTAGCTTTTAGCCAGGACTCTTCCATTTGAGAGGTTGGCATGCTACGTGGCTCAATACAGAATCTCAAATCTTTCTCATAGGAAATAGGCCCCTCAGGCCATACTTTAGTGATTCCTCAAAATTTTCCCTATATATGTACACCTTTCTTACATACAGTAAGGCCATGTACTTGCAGCTTTAGCTTCAAAATTAAAGTAAGTTAAGGTGATGAAAATATTCTAAAATTATAGTGATGGTTGCATAACTCTGAAAATACAAACCCATTGATTGGAATTTTTAATGTGAGAATTGTATAGAATGGGGGTTATAGTTCAGTGAACCCATTAAAAAAAATCTTAGAGAATGGACTTGTCAGAAGTGATTCCACATCATTCAGTTCAAGTCATGCCACTAAAAGATATAATACTTGAAAGTGATGTGGTGTTTTGGCATTGGCCTATGTAGTCACCACTCTCAGAAGAATCTGCCCATAGTTCTTTAAGTGGGTAGAGTATTAACAATTAGTCTTCCTATGCTGTCAATTTAAATAAGTCTCTGGATAATGATTAAAAATTCATAACTCTGTCTTGGCTATTTTCTAAGCTCTTGCTATATCCCTTTGTTTATAACCCATATGAATAACTCATATTTTTAATCTGCTGATTTATTTAATTATCCACTTAACTTTTAAGATTAATTAAGACTTCTATTATTTCTGCCTTTTATTCTTTATTCTTCTATTTGTTGTCTTTTAATCTCTATCTAAGACAAGAGTAAGAGAGAGTTCTCTATTTTGTAATCAAGTCATTCTTTTCATTGCACATAAACAATTTTGTCAGACAATGGAAAAGATAGGAGGCCAAAATCTTTGCTAGAAATCAGAGTTTGGGATTAGTCAAATGATTTCTGGCTTGTTTTTGCCAAGGAATCTTTTTCCCTTTATATCAAACTCCTTGAGAAAAACATTTACCTGGGCATTGCTTGTCACCATTCAGCTCTTTCTTAAGGAACATGACAGAAGGTCAGGTACCAATGCCAGATCATAAGAATGTGACTTAATTCACCTGAACAGACCTAGCAGTAAAGTCCGAATTGAATTTGAACCAATTTTAAGGGCAGATAGTCTGCAGTTTAGGTGAAACACATAAGGGGAGTGGACATAGGCAGGAATTTGAGTAGTAGCTCTTCTCTTTTTCCCTCTGCATTAAGCATTTGCCTTCCTAATGGCAGCAACATTAGGTCTGATTTTAATACCATAATATATAGAAGAGCCTCATTTATGGACTCCCTGCTAATAGTCCTCAATAATTTTCATGAAACATAAAACTGTAAAAATAAAAACATCTAGTTAAATAGAAATTTTGCTTGGATAACAATTCTAGAAAATTATTCATGGGCAGTCTGATTTCACCTTCTTACTGTTTAACTGAAACCCTTGTGGGGAGCCTGCTGTTTTTACTTGGTTATAAACATTCTAACATGCTATGGGTAAGCTTGCAAATATTTTTTTCCCTGATTTTACAGTAAATGGTATTGGTTGATTAAATAACATATGAAGTATTCAATATCCTTTGGTTTTAGGTGATGATGATTTGGAAAAGATCCTACCAGAAGTAGAAGAACTGTCATTTGAAGTATCTTATTCAGAAATGGTTACAGATGCTCCAAAAAGAAACAAATCTAAGAAGTCAGACTTTAAGAAAGAAGATTATGCTTTAACTGTGAGTAAAGACTTCATGATTTTTCCACAAGACTTCTCCATAAGACAAGCTAGGCTTTTAAACACATCTCTGTGGAGAAGCCAGGTATTCGTGCTCTTCACTCCAGGACACCCTGTGTTGTGTAGGGCACACCTGGTTGGCCATACCTGGGAGTCCTGAGTCAATAAAGAGTTGTGAGATTATATTCCTGAATACTCTTACTGATAAAACTGGGTTTTTACCTAACTCATGTTTTCTCATATACTTTCTATACTTAATTTTCTAATAGATTGATGCTGAATAATGTGTACTTATTTGTGCCTAGTAGTTAAATGTCAAAAGCAGTACTGTTGAAAAACACAGTCATAACAATGGGAAGTAGGTGGTTGTAAGAGTGACACAAAATTTAATAAGAAATGAACCAAAGAATATATACTGTTATTTAGGATGGGCAAACAGAGACACACACTTCATTATCCTGGAAGCCTGTGTGTGTGTGCATGTGCATGAGTATGAGTACATATGTATACACACATGTATATACACACATATGTGAGTATGCGTGCATATACATATGTGTGTATATATGTATATATACACTCTATATACTCATACTCGTATACTTAAGTGTATACACACACATACATGATTGAGACATTTATGCACATTGTGTGTGTGTGTGTATCATCTGAGAGCTGACTGTAGGAACTGTGTTACGCTGATCTGTTTGGTATTCAGTAATTTTTTTTTTCTTAAGATTTATATATTTATGCATACAGAACTGGGGTATAGGCCAGAGGTGTGGTGATCAGAATATTCACCAGAGACAGAATGGGGAGCAGAGCAGGCAGGTTGACAAAGAACACTGCAGGAGAGCAGCGGGCCATTCAGGAGAGGTCTGCCACTCCATGTGGGTCAGCTCCCTGGCCAGGGATCAAATTCATGCTGCAGTGGCTTCAGAGAGCTTCATAATGCAGTGCTTTAACCCATTGTGCCACTAGGGGGGACCCTATTTCAATAAATACTTTTTTAAAGAGCTCATGATATAGAGCCCTGGATATTTTTCACTGACAAGGGCTGGAGGTATGTTGAGCAGAGATCAGGTAGGTTCAGAGCTAAGGGAATGAGTCATGTAAAAACTGGTAGTCTTTACCTCAGGCAGCCTGGAGCATTGCTAGACAAGCACCCGTGGTAAAGGGAAGAAAAAGACAGGGCAAGAGCAGTGGGTATCTTCTCTAGGCCTGACACTACACTAAGTCATGTTTTTATAATTGCCCAAGTGATTACTCTAATTTCCCATCAAAGGAAACTGACACCCAGAGATGTCAAGTAGTAAATCAAAATCCCCACAGCTAATCAAAATCCCCACAGCTAGTAGGAAGCAGAAACAAGATTTAAACTTATGCATGTCAATCTCCAAAGCCATTCCTAGTCCATAAGCAGTCTTTTCATTAGAGGGCTCAGTGCTATTATGGAGCAAAGGAGGAATCCAGCACGACTCTGGTCTCAGAGACAGTCGTTTCAAATCTCCAGAGTTGTCAATGTCAGGATAGCACCCACTGTCTACTAAGACTGAACAGCAGTGTAGGCAGTCATATGAAAAGCTTTGCGTAGGATTGAGCACATGGTAATTGCTGAATAAATAACTGTGTTTTTTTATACCAATGTTGGTATATATTATTGTTTTATAGGGCTTTGGTGTCAAAAGAAGACAAAATAACTAAGTATTTTCTAGCACATGATATGCCCCAAATCACACCCTACATTTTGTTGTTTTATTTTTACATAGGTGGAATTCCAAGGAACAATTATTGAATGAATGAATGAATGAATGAGTGAACAAATGATTAGATGACTTGAAAAACCTAGAAATCTCTTACTTAGGGAGCTTCTACAGAGAAATATGTAGTCAAAGCTTTGTAACTTAGATACAGGATTTTTCTATATTAGCTTTTTTTCAATACCAGATTTTTATGAGGATAAAATATATTTGTGAATATTATTTAAGAATAGTCTTTCTTGGGCTCTCCATGGTGGTGCAATGGGTTAGCACAGCACTATGAAGCTTCCCAAAGCCACTGCAGCACTAGTTCTTTTCCTCGCCAGAGAGTTGACCCATATGGCATGGCAGATTTCTTCTGACCCACCTGCTGCTCCCCTCAGCACTGTATCTTGATCTGCCTGGTCTGTTCCCCACTCTGTCTCTAGTGAATTCTGTCACCGCTCCTTTCCACACACACCCTCCCCACCCCATGCCTCTGGCTTGTAAGCATAAACCAATAAATATTAAAAAAAAAAAGAATATAGTCTTTCTTAAAAGATTTTACTTCTTACTGTTTTCACAATATTTCTGGATTGTTGAAGGAAGTTGTATGTGTGTGTTTTGATCATTTTAGTATATTTTGTTTCCTAGTGTAAAAATGGAGACTATAGTGATAGCATTGTGTTCAAAATACTAGTAGGACTGTTTGGCACTTTCTAAGCATTTTCCTTAAAAAAGGAAATCATGTCAATTGGAATCATCTCAATTGATTTCTAAGGTATGTAACTGCCATATCAGCAAACATGTATAATCAGTTATAATTGGGAAATGACTTAGCCTTTTAAAATAAGCAGTAGAGAATAGATGATGCCTGACTGAAATATTATGGTCCAGAATTTAAGAATGATATGTCAAAAGCTCTCCTGAGAGTGGCTACATGATCTCCTTGTGTTGATGTGTCACATCTACCTATGGAAAGTGCATTCTAGGTGGGGTCTGGGGTATGTGTTGTTAGTAAAAGAGTGTTCCTGATAAGACAACAGTGTAAACAGTTGTGATAACTGTAGAATAGTACATTTTAGGCCACTGTGTTGCTTCTTTTTTAGTATAGTAGTTACCCGCAGGTATTCTAAAAATCAGTCACAATCTTCCTATGGCATAGCGTGCTCTTGAAACATTTTGCCAATAGCATGTTTTGCTGTACTGATTTAGAACAAGGCATCTGAATGAAGGGGTAATCATTTTCCTTTGTCATAAAAAATAAATATCCTCAATATGTATTTTAGAAATTTATTGTTCAGAAAACCAGATTTGGGCTAACTGAAGCAGGAGATCTGTCTGCTGATGACATGAAGAAAATTCGCCATCTCTCTCTAATAGAGTTAACAGCTTTTTTTGATGCCTTTGGAATTCAACTTAAGAGAACCAAAACAGAGAAAGTAAAAGGACGAGGTAATTGAGAAGACTGATTTCATCTTATTTTAAAGCTCTCTTGAGATAAAATAGAATTTTTCTGATTCTTTTTTCTTCTCTCTCAATTATTTTACAATGAAGACAATGGAATTTTTGGAGTTCCACTTACAGTCCTTTTGGACAATGACAGAAAGAAAGACCCTGGAGTGAAAGTTCCCTTTGTATTGCAAAAAGTGAGTTGAATGTAAATAAACTGAGAACTAATAGAGCCTCATGCTGTGTACTTGTAAACCCACTAGTGAATTTTCTTTTAGATTTTAAGATACTAAGTCCTTATTAGAACTCAATTCTTTGGTGAATGTCACTCTTCTTCCATGCTTCCCTTAAATGTCACACAGATATTTGGGACAGTTTATGCTATTGTAAATTTTTGGCACCTGTTTGTTTGGACCATCAGGCTTCAGTGATGGACATAGATGCTCTTTCACATGTCTTGCTATGTTTAAACCCCCCCCATATTTGAAAAAAATGTTACTTTTATATACATACACATTTTTGTGTCTCTGAAATAAAACCATTAATTATCAGCAGTGTATTTATCGTACAAACATATCACACAGGTTAGATGTTATTAAATGCATACATAACAATATTAAATGAATTTTCCAAGAAAACATAATAAAGGCCAAAAATCAGCTTGCTCTGATGAATTTTCAGGTATGACTGGGAAGATAGGATCCATTTGACAAAGAATTTTTGGTGAAGGGATTTTTGAAAACAGTATATTTGAAACTATCTACGTTGCTCTCTCTGTGGCCATCACTGCTGAGTAGCTAATTTGGATTTAAGTCACTGTGCTAAATTTAAACTGGTTTCCTTAAGTATGCATTTATTCAGCAATGACATCCAGTGACACAATTAAAATCCCAAGTCTCAAACAAAATCTAGTTGAATTTTAAATTAAGCTTTTAATGCTATTTAAAGACATTGACTGAAGACACATATACTTACTTTGCTCACAGTACACAGTAACAATTCTGTGTTTCCTATCTTTCATTTTGCTACTGATGCCCTGAAATTAGCTGCTCCTCAAATGAGGTGGTTGATTGGCTGCCAGTGGGGAGAGGATGCTGGTGACATGTCAGTGTGTGCAGGGTGTGACTCCCTGTGCCAGTGCCATCATACCTTACCTTGTCTAGTCAACACCAGGCATCCTGAGGAGGTTGGTGTTAACATCTCCTTTTTACAGGTGAGGCAATTGGGGCATAGTAAGGTAAGATCACTTAACTGGAACACACAGCCAGCAAGAGGTAGATATGAAAAAGAGCACAATGTATTTTCAAGGCCAAGTCTATGGTGACTTTACATTTTTTTCCTTTGAATTAAAATCAGAATTTTGCCTTTTGGCCTCTTTGTAAAGGACAAAGTATGAAGAAAATGCATAAAAATCTAAGACTGAAAAGATTCAACACAGAAATATATATTACTAAATAGGTTCCAAAATAGCATAGAATGTAGCAGCATGTTAAATTAAGTCCAGATTTATATCATATCGGCAACTCAAAACTGTTAATACTACCATTGATATTGTTTTCCTTTTTTAAGTCCTCTTGAGTAATTACTCTTGTGCTCCTTTGGGAGAGTCTTACAGACCTGATTCTTTCTCCTAAAAAGATCATTTAACTCCATTTATACAAGAACTTCCTTAGTTTTAGGCAACCTCATTTCTTGAAAGGAAACTACTAGAGATTCAATCTACTTTTGCTGTGTGTCCTCGGGGAGTCACTCATCCTTTCCATGCCTCAGTCTCCTCAGCTGTAGAATGGAAATAATAGTACCAGCCACATAGGATTACTATGAGGATTAAAGGAGTTAATGGGAGTGCCAACACACAGTGAGTGTGCAATAAAAGTTAGTGTTTACTATTACTATTTAATATCATCATATTCTCAACCAGGAGAGTTCATGAAAGCTGTGAACCTTTACAATTTCCACCTCCTTGTCAGATTTCTAGAATTCCTTTAATTCAGCCTGAGTGGTGGCAACTAGTGATCCAAATTGTAGACTCTCTTCTTATTGTCCACTCTGCAGAAAGAAAGATAGTCACCAGATCTTTATGTGGTTAAGTGACAGCTTACTCTAAATTTAAAAGCACAAACTTAAGATGATCAGTCCCAGGAGAGTAACATAACAGCTCTACTTTTCTGCTTCCTCATTTGTAAATTAGTCTTCCCAATATTGACCTCTTAGGGTAGTTGTAAACTTTTAGTGTTCAAGTAGTAGGTGTTATATATATTCTTGTTAATTTATCAGCTATTGTCATCATTATGTTCTTATTGTTTGTAATCATATGGAGGTGCTTATTTTTTGTGTGTATCATTGCTTTTTAGTTTTTTGAAAAGGTTGAAGAATCAGGCCTAGAATCGGAAGGAATTTTTCGACTTTCAGGATGTACTGCCAAAGTGAAGGTATGGACATTTCAACCTTCTAGATAGAGATCTAAACTCCCTAGCACCAGTTCATACAAGTACCAGTCCTTTGTTGTTGATACTTATCAGTTGACCCCCTTCTAGTAGCCCGCAATACTTGTGATTAAATGTCATTCTGGGATCTTGAGTTCTGTATGTTTTAAATTAATACAGTAATTAAAAAAACAAACAACAACAAAACACAACAGTTCCCCACCAAAAACTGCTTCTTGTCTTTTGTTTCAAATATCCCATTGCTGATTTTTTGGCTAAGAATTTTAGTCTTTATTCCTCTCAGTAGAACACTGTCACTATTTGATGACTTTTATTTCCATTTTCAGTTGCTTTAAACTCAGAAACATTCTTTGGCTCTTCTGTTAATGAAAACCCTTACAAGAATTTGTAGGAATAGTTGCAACCACTAGAATACCCACTCAGCACTTATAAAAACCCAATTCCATTTAAGGAAATGTTAGTTTCCACATGGAAAACCACCCAGGCAATGCGAATCCTTTTGCTTGTTTTCTTTACCCTGGATGGTGGCAACTTCTATAGTACAATAAAAGAATCATTAAAAAGGAAAAATTGTTCTTACAAATTTCCAATAAGATATCTCACTTTTTCTGCTGGTGGGCATACACAGTGAAGAGTTTCTTCTTGCCTTGCCTGGCTAGTGGACTCAGAAACCTGAGTAGTTTTTAAGTGATTAATCTATCAGAAAAAGGCCTTAGGGTTAGAGGGAAATGAACTTAGTTGTGTTTATAACTATTAAAAGGAAATGTGTAGAGATGGAAAAATATCTGTTTTTTAATTCATTTTGGTACATGTTTTGGAAATTTGCTTTGAATCAGAAATCTAGGAGTTTTCACATGAAATTGTGTCTTGTGGGACCTTTAGAAAACAGATTCTGGGCAGGAATGAGAGTAAAACATGATTTTTTTGAAGGGAGGGGTTAGTGAGCACTTCTGAAAGGTGAAGGGCGAAGTAGCATGATTTGGCAGGCTGAGCTTCAAATCGAATGTTGGTCTGATAGTTCTCCCCTGGAGCCTTGGGCACACAGACCAACCCAGCTGCCATCCTGCCCACGGTCTCTACTGGGTAGATCAGAAGTGCTAGCTTACAGTTCGGGGTCAGCCACCTAGACTTTTACAGATGAACAAATTCTTTTTTCAATGGGAGATCTGAGTAGCACACAGACTTTGCCTGTGGCAGATGGGATGGGGCATTTCAGAGAGTTGTGACTTCTCTGAGATTGGAGTTTGCTAAATACAGCAGGCCTTAAATAATGTTTGTTTTATATTATTACATTGTTATGAGAAGAAGAATATTCCAGCTCATGTTGAACAAAATGTGATTTTTTTTTTTTGAGGACCTTATAGAGCACATGCTTTCATTAGACATCATTTTGCTCTAAGTCGGTTTCCAAGATCCTATTGGTGATGTTAAGTGAGGACTTAACCATATTGATATAAGTTCTTTGGGCAGATAGACTACCCTGATGACTCCTTGAGTTTTCTACTTTGTTAAAGTGAATCTACGTTTTATCTCAGGTACTATCTTCTGGACAAAAGTTTCATGATTGTGAAGATGGGAGCTATCACTAGTTTTGGTTAAATTTCTGGTTGTATCTGTAGAGTCAGAAAACCAAAATGAAATTAACTGAATTTCCTAAATAAAATTAGACCCAACACTTATACCCCTTTCCATAATTGAGAAATTGTCATTACACACATTTTTACGGGCTTGTGTGTGTGTGTGTGTGCGTGTAGGAGCATAATGAATATGATAAAATAGTAAAAAAGAGAAACTATTAGATATTTCTTGTACATATGAACTTTAACATCATAACAGAAAATACTTTTACTCAATAATCCTTAACTGAAAATGCTTACCAGGCTAATAATTTCTTAAAGTGTTTTTGAAGACATAACCATTCCTACACCACATTTAGGTAAAAATCCCTTTTCTCCCATAACTGGTTTTGTGTAGTCTCAGCTTATTTGTTCCATTGCTTTTTAGTCTGAAAAATATAGCCCAGACGTTTTTTTATGGTTTGAGTTTCAGAAATCCAGTGTAAGAGAATTCTGCACCAATGGCCAGAAACAGAGAAATATCACAGAAAGACTGTGTGGGGGGGAGGGGAATGAAGAGGAAGGGGATTTTCTTTCCTTAATTCAAAACTACTTTGTGTGTGTGTGTATGTAATTCCATCTGTTAGCCTATGTTTCTCTCCCCCCCCCCAGGAATGTGCTTGGGCAAAAAAAGTTTTTAAAATTCCATTATAATCATCCTCAAGTTGTGCCAAGTGGATGGCACTAACACTAATGTACATATGAACAGTGCAGCTCCAGTTGGACTTCTAAGGCCTGGTGAGAGCAGTGGGGAAGCAGCCCTTAGGGGATGCTGCTAGGGCTAGCCAAATAGAATAGGGCACACACAGTCAGTCCACTCCTGGCTTTGAAGCATCAGATCATTTGCAACCAGTTTAATACTTTGGTGTTTCTAGTGATTTTCTTTTCCAAAAATGATAGAAATTAGAGCCAAACCCTAGAGGAATATATTTTATGGAAGATGGCAGACTGTTTGGCATGAAAGGTTTTCCTCTTTGACTAGCTTCATTTATTCTGAGGCTGATCTGAATGTTTTATAATTACATTACCTGATCTACTAGTTTCCTGAACTGGTTTTTGAAACTCAGAGCAAGTCATTTGCATTTGATTAAGAGTACCTCAAAAATAGAAGTAGGTCATACATTTACTCAGAGGTGCTTTAAGCATATGACATGGCATCGAATCCTTACTTAGTGTTATCATTAACAGTGGACAGAAAGCACAACTTCCTTAACTTCTGAAGCTGCTTTGGCAAGGCAAATTCAAGTACTAGTTTATATGTTTTTATGTTTAGGACCATGAAGGAAATAGTAGCTGTGCTCTGACATTTTCCAGTCTGCACTAGTGAAAACCAGGAGAGCACATTCTCTCACTTTCATTTTTTACTGGCCTTCCAGATAAGATGAAGCTATCATCCTCCAGATTCACACCACAGATCTGGGGTGTCCCGTAGTAATATTACTAAAGGCCATAGTATACCGAAAGGAGAGGGAAGGAATGAGGAGCCATCACTTACTGGACTAAGTGCCAGGCTCTTTCTCTTAAGCTGTATATATTATTTGATTGAATCTACATGAGATGATTAACATTGTGATTACATGGTGAGAAACTCGAACCACAGGCCATACAATTAGCCAGTTATACTGTTGTGATAAGAACCAAAGTAATCTGGTGGTAGAGTCTTCCCTAGATGTCAATGTGAGATTGCCCCTTAAAGGACAGAGCACCACTGACAAATCAGAGTGATGGTTTGAGAAAGCTTACTGTGGCAGAAGTACATGGCAAATGAACTGTGTCATTCCTGCTACTGAAAATAGTTTACTCCCTTTGCTTTATGGCAGCTGTAACAGGCAATGGATGCAGAACACTTGCTGTTTTCTCTATCACCTGTAAATGACACTGCTATCTGCCCATTACTCCAGCTAGCAATCTGAGAGTCATCTTGAACTGTTATTTCTCCCTCTGAGTCTCATATTCAACCTTTCATTCTCGTCCATGAGCATTTTCTGGCATAGGAATTTCTGAAATCCCTCCTCTCCTTTCTGTCATACAACTGTTATCCAAGTAAGCCCTTGATTATCCAGAACCATGAAACAGTTCCCTGGCTCAGTAACTAGTGTCCTTGCCTCTAGTCTTCTCCCCAACCAGCACTCTGCTCCCTTCCCCCAAATTGCTTTTCCATTTGTCTGTCGGGAAAGATAAATTTCAACTTGTAATTCTGTTCTTAACAATGTTCCATGTTGCCTCATTGCCTTCCGAATGAAGTCTGGTCCCTTAGGATCAGCTCTGGTCTGCTCCCCACTTTCATCTGTTTCCCCTCCTTGCCTACAGTACGCCAGCAGCCCTGAATTAACTGGATTGCCTTGCACCCACTGATGCCCTTGCATCTGTACCACTGCGTGAGCAGTTTCTTCTGTCCAGGGCACCCTTCTTTTTCTCTTTTTTCCCAGGCAAGCTCTCACCAGTCCTCAAGACATGGCTCAAAAGATACTGATTTTCCTCCTTCAAGGCTGCTTAGTACTCAATATGGGTCTTTGTTTTAACATTTAACATCCTGAAATTAGCATTGTGAGTCCATGAAGTTTTCCCTTCCACAAGATGCCTAAAGACAAAGAGTGGATCTCATGCATCACCCAAAGCCCTGTCTGTGCTCTATTTCTGAGGACTTTATACACACTTTAGGGTGTCATAAAATGTACTTATGAGCAAAAGATTGCTCTGTTCCTGATAGATTGAGAGCTTCTCAAGGACAAGAAGAAATTCTCCTGTCGACATCACCAGTGGGACAAGCAGATAGCTCAGAAATCTGTGAGAAACGTCACAAAATCCAAGGTTGAGCTGATAGAAAAGATTAGATGTGCAGACAAAGTCTAGCTATGCACGCTTCCCATGTAAAGTTGGGCTTCTCATGAAAATAAAGCAGAGGCCCTAAAGAACAGGGTTTTCAACGTTCTCTTAGCATCTTTTTTGAAGCAGTTAATGTTAGGGAACTGACTGTAACTGCTCGGTTTAAATAGGTAGACACTGCTGTTCAAGGAAATTGTAAAAATGAACTTGACTTGGGGAAAAAAAAAAACATGGAGAATCATGGAGAATAGATTGCATTATAATCAAATGAGTCGGTAATATAAAATGTATACCCAAGTAGAACATAGGGAAGCTTAGTGATTTTTTTTGTAAAGTATTTACTCCGTGTTCCAAACCTTATGGAGCATCCAGATACATGCAAGCATGTGGAACACTTATATGTACCGTAACAGAACTTTCTTATAGCCACTGCCAGGTAGGTGTTATTCATTTGCATATTGCAGTGAAACTGGAGTTCCTTTACTGGGGTATTTCTCACTCTGTATGTGGACTACAGAGAAGCATGCATTATTGATCTAAGTTAGAAATAGTTGATGGCTAAAGGAAGGGGTAATGAAAAGAAAGGAAATGTAGTCTTTGCCAAAATCTAGCAGGGCATTGAAAATGTGGAGGCAGGTAGTATTCTGCCAAAACCACATAAATGAAACTATGGCCTGGGTAAAGAATGTTTTATTTGGAAGAATTAACAAATTATATCAAGATGGATCTTATTCTAAAGAGATTTTTCTAGAAAAAACATTCTAATTTTTTTAAATATTCAAAAATATTTAAATTCTTTGATCATGATGAAAAAACTTGGGCTTGATAATAGCATTTTACTCTACTTATAAAATTACTTTATGCAATGATTGTTTTCAAAGGGAAAAGGGGCTTCAAATAGTAAAAAACAAACAAACAAAAATCTAATATTGATTGTTTTTCCTTTGTTTTAAGCAATATCGTGAAGAACTGGATGCCAAATTTAATGCTGATAAATTTAAATGGGACAAAATGTGTCATAGAGAAGCTGCAGTAATGTTGAAAGCCTTTTTCAGAGAACTACCCACGTCTCTCTTCCCTGTGGAATACATACCTGCCTTCATCACCCTAATGGAAAGTAGGTGTAAGCTTTGTGACTGGACTAAGAAATAAGGTCAATAAAGTGACACAGAAGAGAAGTGATCATAAATGTTCAGATTTACAAATTCGTAGCTACTTGGTAAAACATTGAGTTTGGTGGTAAACAGTCATCTCTTTGCATTTTCATATATTTGTGTCTGATAGATAAGATTTAGAACATTTTATAATCATTTTAAGACAGAGTGGTTTGCAGAAAAGAATGGGCTCCTGAGATTGAAAATCTTGTTCAACCATTTGTTCTCCACACAGTTACCCATTCTAAATTTCATTGCTACACCTGAAATTATAAATAATGATTTAAAAAAAATAATTACTTGTTAGGGTAGTTGTGGGTATAGAATAAAGACTTATAGAATAGTACCTGATATTTAATAGTCTTTAAAGGTGTAAGATCCTTCCCTTCTTTAAATCTGAAGTCCTGGTTCTGACAGTGTAGCACAAAATAAATGCTACCCAGAAGGTACTTTGTCTCTGAAGATTACAGTATCACTTAGAATTTTTTAATATTATAAAGTTACCTAGACTAGTCCATAAGTGAGGTATTAGAAGCATGGAAACTGGGAATTGTGTTATGCATAACAGTGAGAGAATAATTTGGCATAGTTTCAGTCTAAAAAATTGAGAAAAGTAGAGTAAGGTTCAATATCCATTATGGAATTTGGGCTTCACGATCCTAATTATGTATATACTGTTAGGTAAATGGTGATTCTACAAGGACAGGAAAAGAGTCATGGCCAACCTGTAGGCTCAGTCCACATGAAAAGGTGAACCTTTTCATTGCTTACCTATAGACAGTGGTTACCATTGCATGGGGTGAGAACCCCAAAATGCAAGCTTTAAAAGGAAAACTCTTAATTTGAAAATGTCAGTCATGAATTCAAATTTGAGTCATGTTCTATAATCTCAGCAAGTAATATCTGTACTATTCACTTTACAACATTCTAGGTTCATCAGAAATATAAAATCCTTAAAACCACAGTGAAAGAAAATTATAGTTAGAGCCTAAGTTATGTGACAGAACTGGTTCTAAAAGTAAGTAAGCTCTAAGTCCTTAAAATTTGTAAGAACAGTTTCATAAAAATAATCTTTTGTATCTCCAGAGAAGAGACCATGATAGGCAGGCAGTCCTCTTCTGAGCTTTCATTCATATGCTATGTGCAACCAATATCTCATTTCTTGGTAAAATACGCTTTTGTTTTTTTGAGGAAAACTTACAGCAAAAGAGAAAGAAGAGTTCAAGTCTTTTTTTTTTTTTTTAAGTTTTTGGTATTGTGTTTGTTTCAGTTATAGAAATTCCAGTTGGTGCTGCTTAGGGGTTTTCTATTCATCAGCTGATAATTTACCTTTTTATTCACTCTATGCATTTTCCTTCACATCATTGATCACAGCCATGTGTTGCTTCATAATGGGGATATATTCTCAGCAGTACATCATCAGATAATTTTGTCATTATATGTATATGATAGAGTCTAGTTACATAAACCTAGATGAAATAGTCTACTGGGCCGCACGGTACAGCCTGTTGGGGTCACCATCTGTGTTTGCTTCATCATTGACCAAAATGTCACTGTGCTACATATGACTGGTGTTATGGCAGCTGCTTCAAAAATTCTTGTCTCTGGTTCAACACTTGGATTATCTCAGGGCAAGTCTCCCTTGATTGACCCTTGAGAATGGTCACTCATGTGCTGAGTAAGTTTAATTCTCTTGAACATCGTGAATATTGTATTTTGAATGCTGCACTCTGTAATGCTTTCCCAAAGTGTTTTCTTTTGTTGTTGTTGTTGTTGTTGTTATTGTTCATTTTTTAGAGATAATTGTTTAACTGAAGTCAAATTGCCAGTGGGCTTTTAGACAATGGTTCAGTTCACTCTTAGTCTAGTTTGTTACTCATTACCTGTGCTGCTGTATACAAGTGTGGTTCACAGCCAAGATCTGGGTGGACTTTACACCAGATTCAGGTCCTTCCATCTCTGACCTCTCCTTTCTGGGATTCTACTCACAACTTTCCAATACTGTGATAGTCCTGAACCCTGTCCTTTATTTGGTCAAAGTGGAAAGACTAGGGTTCTCTTTGGGAATTTTAACCACCTCCTGCAGCCCTGTCTGTTGTCTATCTTTAGACTCAAGTCAGATAAACAAGACTTTGCCAACCCTGAATTCCCATCGTCCAATCCTCTCCTAAATCTGCCCCCTTTTATTTACTTCCCATTACCTCAGGTAGTTGTTTTTTGTATTCTTCCTAGAGTTTGTAGTTATCTTCAGGAGGGCACATCACATAGGAGCCATGCCAGAAACAGAACTCCCTCTTTTTACTGAAAGTCTGAAAAACAGGATTTTCTATTGTGCTTGCTGTCTTGGAAAATGGACTGCAAAGGCATTTAGCTTTGCCTTGATCTGTGGCTTATATGTGAAATAATTCTTCAAACTCCTCTGGTGTCACAGGATTTATTTGATTGGGATTTATTAACGAGAAGGAATTAAACCTCTGATACCAGACCTGTTCAGAGAATCATATTTAAAAAATGTATACAATTAAACTAGTTTTTCTTACCTGACTGCAGCCAATACCTTCATAGAAGGGAGAGAATCTGGAAAATGTCCTGAAAAGATTCACAAAGGAGTTCACATTTCTTTGCATGACTGAAAAAAAAAATTATCACATTGATTTATTTGATACTCTGGAGGCAGCCTCATTTTCTAGCTGCTGCCTACCACAGAGAAGTTGTCCTTTTCGCCACCTGGGGTAAACTTTAGTTATAACAAGTTTCATTTCATTTCTTTTCTTTTTTTTTTTTAAGATTTATTTATTTGTACAGAACTGGGGTACAGGCCAGAGATGCGGAGAGTGAGAGGATTCACCAGAGACAGCGTGGAGAGCAGAACAGGCAGATCTATTAATTACACTGCTGAGAGGAGCAGCGGGCTGGTCAGCAGAGGTCTGCCGCGGAAGTGGCTTTAGCTTCTTTGTGCTGTGCTTTAACCCGCTGCACCACCAGGGAGGGCCATAACAAGAGAAATGTGGGAGAACTGTGGATGAGTGTGTTTGTTTAAGTTTTATGTTTTTTATATACTAAAGCAGAGTTGGGGGATGAAGAGTCTTTCACTAGTGGAATTGCTTTCTATTTGTTCTTCAAATTTGATCCCCAAATTGCCCATAAAGTTGTAAGACTAATAATTCATCAGTCAAAACTAATATTTTCTTATTCATTCATTCATTTATTCATTCATTTTGTATAGAAGAACTGGAGTATAACCCAGAAATGATGGAATTCACCAGAGACAGAGTGGGGCAGAACAGATAGATTGACTGAAACACACTGCTAGGGGGATCAGCGGACAGACCAGGAGAGATCTGCTGTGCCATACAATAGATTAGCTTCTGGACCAGGCATCGAACTCAAGTCATAGTGGTGATAGCGCAAGACTAAACCCCATGCCACCAGGGAGGCCCCCCAAGCTTCAGTGTTTTCATGAAAAGTTTAATAATGTTTTGGGAAAATAATGACTTGAGGAAAATAAAAGACTTTACTAGGATATGATATATGAATTAACTACAAACTATAAAACAGTGTAGCCCAACAGTGTAGCCCATGGCCCGATAGGTTAAAGTGTAGCACTGTGAAGCTGTCCAAAGACACTGCAGCACGACTTCAATCTCTGGCCAGGAAGGTTATCCACATGGTGTGGCTGGCCTCTCCTTTCTCACCTGCTGCTCCCCTCAGCAGTGTATTTCAGTTGATCTGCCTGTTCTGTTACCCACTCTGTTTGTGGTGAATCTGCTCACCACCCCACCCCTGC